AAGGCCACCAGGTTCGTTTGACAGGACCTGCCTCTAATGAACCCATGTTGGTTGCTCCTAAGCATAAACTCCCCTGCTTGCCCCTCGCAGATGTGCTCCTGGATAATTTTTTCAAATAGCTTCCCCAGGACAAAGGTAAGACTAACAGGCCACTAGCTTCCTGGGTCCTCTTTCCTCCCTTTTTTGAAAATGGGGACCACACTGGCCCTTTTCCAGTCATCAGGCACCTCACCAGAGCACCATGAGTGCTCGTAAATCTGTGCCAGGGGTCCTGCAATGACTTCTCCTAGTTTCCTAAGCACTCTGTGGTGGAGGTTGTCAGGACTTGCTGATCTGAACACATCTAGTCCCACCAGAAGTTCCCAGACTAGGTCCTCACTGACCCTGGGTCTGGCTGCGCCTCCCCTGGGTCTGTCTGGAATCCCAGTGTGGGGGATGACCCTGTCCCTGCTCAGAAACAGGGAAGCAAAGAATCTGTTAAAGAGATTTAGCTTTGTCATCTGGTGCTACCACCAGATTACCAAGCATGTCCTGCAGAGGCCTCGCATTATTTGGCACCTTTTTACCCCCTATGTATTTAAAAAAGGACAATCATTGCCTCTGCATGGATCTATGATTTAGTAATCCCTGGCACCTGCCCCTGTTGCTAATCGCCCATTGCCATAGGATTTGCTATTGAAGGAAGATGTCTTTTAATGTGGAGATGCCTCTTCAGATCAGCAACCATGCGTGTTCAGGATTTCTGCTCTTCATTTTTCCATAATAAATATTTGTGTAATCTACTGGAAAAACTGTGTGTGAAATCTAAGGTGTAGACTTTTTGTTATAGAGGTTTGAACTGAGGGGATCTACAAGGCCAGGTTTCCAGCCTTGCTGATGCATGTTGGGGGGTGGAAGAGTTTAATGCATATCAAACTTGGGTCATATCTATTTTTTCTTTTGTAGGCCAAACCCATTGGACAAATTGGGGCTCCTTGTTATCCAGGTTTCATTCCCCACTTTTTTTTTTTAAATTCATGTAGGTTGAGTTTGGTAGTTTCCAACAGCATACTGCTGCTGAACTAAAGTTGGTTAACTAAACTGCTGTGCTCTTTATTTTGGATCCCAAGTTTAGGAGTAATCTCTTCTGAAAAATACTGCCAGTGTCTAATTGCCTACTGACCATATGTGAAACTTGTTTTGGGGTTTTTGTTTTTTTTTTTAAACTTCACCAAATTTGGGTGGATTTTTTACAGGAAAGTTGAGGCACAAGTGATTCCAGGGTGACATTTTTTTTTTCAAGCCATTGGAACAATCTGGAGGTGCTAATGTTTCTGAGAAGTACAAACTTCTTGATATAAGCAAAATACACTTTCACTCCGTCTGTTTTAGATAATGGTTAATTCTTGGAAAGCATAAGCATTATTCTGAAGTATGCAACTAGCATGGAAAATGTCAGTGCAAATAGTTACATTTTGGTTATGTTGTAGGCAGTTGAAAATAGTGTGATGGAAAGTTTTTAGGTAACCTTAATAGGCTTTTTTTTTTCTTTTTAAGGTGCTGTTGAGGAGGCAAGCGAGTATAAATTCAGGGAAAAGAAAACACTTCTGGAACATGAAAAGGCAAGCATACTGCAAACAAAGAAATTGCTTGGTGTGTGTGTGATTTATATATTTCCATATATGGAAAGCTATTGAAATTTAAAAAATGCTTCAAGTTTTAGCACTAAAAACAGCAAAAACTTTTTTAGCCACGAGTTTCTACAGTTGTTCTGCTTCTGCTGGATGCCAGGTACTAAATCTACATTAAGCATTTACCTTCTGTTTATATTTTCTTGAATTTGAATTTGTTTAACTTGACAAAATTCAAAATATGAAGCAGGTTTTTTTTTTTTTAAAGGAATCTCAGATGGCATAAAAAATTTCTACAAATTATTTGGGGAAAAAATATTCAAAAAATGACACTCAGTTCATATTTATTTGGTTTCTGACTTAATATTCAGTTGAATAATTTGTCCACTAAAATGTTTCTTATTTTTCTAGGAGATTCACAATTCTGTACCTGTATTATTAAAGTCTGCTTACACTGCAAAAAATACATCTCTTAAAAATGAAGTGTTTTGCAACCGAGAGACCAGCATGGGCTTACTATTGCCCCCCTTCTGTTCAAGTGCTATTCTAAGTAACCAAAGTTACTATTCTAGTGCTATTCTAAGTCTACCAAAATGGCACAGTGGTGAAGGGAACTCTTCAGTAAAGACAAAGGAAAATAAGGATTGTGAAAAGAATCTTAGAGAATCTTCCAGTCTTAAAAGGAAACGGGATGTGTCCATGTATTGTTCACAGAAGTTAGAAAAATGGTTCCCAGAAAAGCACTCTATTAATCCATGTAAAACTAAGTGTGATTGGACTTCCAAACAAGGTGAATCACCTGAAAAAGCATTTTGTGATGTAAGAAATTTAGAGTATGAAGAAAAGATCCAGTTCCTTGGAACTATTAAACAGGCATTGGCTGTAGTGATTACAATGGTATTTCAAGATGGTTCTTCACAACTTAACTCTGATCAGGTTAGTGAGTAATAATGGGCTTTATAATTTTGAGAGGTTCATGCTTGAGCTAAGAGAGATGCTTTTAAAAAATCAGATTTAATAAATCTGAAACTGTGAAATGGAACATGTTCAGAATGTGTTAAATTTCTTACACGTGGATTGTGACTGGGCTCAGTCTTGTGCAAACCTGGGCGAATTTGTTTGGGTTTTCCAAAACATGAGTACAAAACTTGATTAAACTTTGTGATTTCATCTGTGTCTTTTTAGGATCAAAGCAAAATCTATTACTATAGAATTGTGTGGGTTTATATATTCACAAGTGTGCAGACTGCTCCCACGCGGAGAAAGACTCTCTTAGGATTGATTGCAGTGAGAATCCTGGTGGCACTGGAGTAGGTGATCTGGGATGAAGCTTGAGGAGTCTTTTGGCTTGGTTCAAACTCTTGATTGTCATGCCAACCATTAGGAAGTCAGATCGCTGACTAAGGCAAAGTACAGACAACAGATTTAATCTTTGCATTGGATTTGAAGTCATCTAGCTTGATGCATTTATCTCAACTGGGCTTGATTCTAACAGCCGTTCAAGGACACAAGATCACATTGATTTTTCAGGCTTTTGGTCTTTTGTACTAAAGATTGGAATAACGAGTGTTACGGTTATTCTGTGTATGGGGAAGAAGGGCTTAAGTGCATATTCTTATGGACCTTTAGGGACCCTGTAATTGCAACACTGTTGCTGCAGAGGGAGTCACCCCTTCCAGTCCAGTATTGTGTTCTAGGTTGGGGTGGCCAGCTTGTGGCACGGGTACCACAAATGGCACATAGTGGATCAGGGATGGGACAGGCAGCACAGCAACAGGGCAGAAAGCAAAGGAGCAAATTAGGCAGGGCTAGGAGCAGAAAGCAGAGTAGCAGATCAGGCAGGGGAAGGGGAGCAGAGTGGCACTTAGTAGAACAGAAGATTCATAGATTCATAGATTCATAGATTAAGGGTCGGAAGGGACCTAGTAGATCTTCTAGCCCGACCCCCCGCCAGGCGGGAGAACAACAAAAACCCCAAAAAGAGAAATGGGACTCAAACGAGTCCAGCTAGGTGGGCATCCAGCCTCTTCTTAAAGACCCCCAGGGTAGGGGCCAGCACCACTTCCCTTGGAAGTTGGTTCCAGCTCCTAGCCGCCCTAACGGTGAAGTAGTTTTTGCGGATGTTCAATCTATACCTCCTCTCCAACAGCTTGTGCCCATTTCTCCTTGTTATGCC